GTAATAAATATTCATAACTGTCTTTCTGTAGGCTTGTGAATATCAATAACTATTAGAATAATATTAATAAATAGCTGGAGTACCCGTCCTCTGGATGGAATTTATGTAAACTCATTATTAAGAAAAGATTATCTTAAAATGAAAAGTTGCTTCCCTTATATGTAATTGTAAAAAACGCAAGAACGCCCATAAAAACTGCAAAACACAATTTGTGAAACCGCAAGTTTGCCTGTATCTCTGCATGGATACAACAAACTTTCATGCAATATTTGGTGAAGATCCATCAATAGGGGGCGAAGTAGTGATAAAAAACATAAAACTGAACATTTGTACATGGATCTAATGAACCTCTATAGCAATTTTGATGAAAATTTATCCACACCCTGCGAATTAATTACATGGACATAAAACAAAAAATAGACAGAATTACTATATTTATATAGATAATATGAAGAACAAATGCACAATAGGAAAATCAACTTTTTTGCTATTATCGATATTTTAGCAGCCTTACCCATTGAGATAGAAGGTCTTGAGTGTTGTTTCAAAAACAAGTCTGCTTTTTAAGATGGTTTTTGCCCGTGTGTCCTATTAGAATTTTTGTGAAATTCCTTGGCGAACCCTATTATGAACCACTATTGTGGTTCATGATAGAGAAAACAGCATACAAAAATGAATAATGGGTTTAATCTTGTACTACAGTAGTGAAGACAGCACTATAGCCTTATTAGACAACCTATATTCTAGTCTTATAATCCGGTATATTCTCCAGTTTTACGACCATATATATTCTACAGCTGATGTGATTCCTATACTCTAGTCTTACGACCACGTATAATCTATTATGTCTCTTTGCGATCCCATATATTCTGTAATCTTACGTGATCTAATGTACTATAGTCTTACGATCCCATATATTATTATAACCTTATGCGATATTGTATATTCTAATCTTACAACAAAGCATACTCTAATCTTACGATCCCATATACTCTTATAGCCCTATGCGGTGTTGTATATTCTAATCTTACAACCAAGTATTCTCCAGTCTTACGACAACATATACTCTATAGACCTATATGATCCCGTATGCTCTGGTCTTACCACCACATATACTCTACATGTACTGATGTAACCTTATGCAATCACCTAACAAGTCGTGAAACAACATGACCTGTAAACGTTAACATGCCTAAAATAATGAACTCACGACGAGCTGATATTAGCGCGAAACTATTTTATTCGGTTCAAAAACACTTGACCTTGCGTGACTAAATCACAGTGTTTATAAACGCGGATTTCAAAAGCTACGTTTTTGTTGCGTGTGGTTCCAACTTACCGAGACACACTTTATGGCTTCAGATTTCAGACGTCAGACACACACGTTTCACTAGTTCGATTACTTCGACTTGATCAGCCTCTCTAATAAAAAAAAAAAGGGAACATGGAGAAGATAAGTCTTTGAAAAAAAGTTTTACGATGAAAGGTGGACGTTTTAGGTTAATAGACTAAATATTTTACTCAGTGGATTATACTTTCATCCCTATCGTATTCTTAACATTATATCAAAATAATGACCAAAAAAAAAAAAAGATAATGTTATGCAAAGCTTGTTAATTAATTCGTCTACGATACAACAGTCGAATAACTTGAACCAACTTTATCTAGCGTCTAGTAAGTCAATTTACAGAACAAACTGAACAATAAACTAATTTTTATACGAAGAACAATAAAACAGCTTGAACGAAGTTTTTGAAAGAAAAAATTCTGGGAACTTTAGCCTATAACAACCATATATATTTTACAAAAAACAATAAAGTAAATCATATATTATACTGGACAAAAGTGAGGAATGAGTAAATCATGTGTTATTATTTATGTTAAACATATCTTTTTATAACTAATTCCATACAAGAATTAAAATATTTGTATTTTCAGACTTTAATTGCCTCGAGAAGTCCACTTCCAAATTTTAGGCTATTTCTGTTTCTTGTTGGACTATTGTGCATTAGTGGCCAGAAAGGTGACCTTTTCTGGTCGTTGGCCCAATATTCACATTGGAAACTGGTGCTGATTGGTGCAACTTGAATATGTAATTACATAATAGGTCCAGTTTGAAATTATTAAGAGCTTCTAATCAAAAGTAGGCTAACTATATAAATCTGGAGTAAAATCATTTTAAAAAGTGTAACTTGTAAATTAATAAAGATAACCCTGTATAGTAAAATGACTAGAAATACTTAACTTCATGAATCAATAGACAATACATCACAAAACTAAAACACAAAACAATAAGAAAGCACCGAATAACCTTCGCTGTTAACTATATTTTTGTCGTTATTTCAACACTTCACGAAATTAGAACAGCCTTAACAGATTTATGTTAGTCCAAAAATCAATATAAGTAAGCGAATAACTTGAAAATAACCTTGATAAGTTTAATATTAATTCAAAAAATTACTAAAAATATTTGAATCATTAGAACCACTAATATTTAATGAAACAGATTTTAAAAAATGGATTGGGCTGTTATTGATAAAGTATATAACAAAATATCAATCGTTTGCTATTAAGATAACAAACTTACCAACACACGAAACTTGTAAGCATTCATGCAATATATGATTATTAAAGAAAGAAACTCATAAAAAAAAATCACACTAGCCATCTAACCGGAGAACTAAGGTATGTCACTGATCCCTCAGATAAGCGTGATCTAGAACAAGTAAAGATCTATATAATTCTCTCTTAAACGGTGCTATAACCTTAACAAGTTTAGCATAAAATATAAATGAATGGGTTCCAGCACATGTTAAAGTTAACTTTCAAGTTTGTTCTACAGAAGTTTTGTTAAGTTTATCTGTGTCACTTGTAAACTCGATTAGTCCAGCCCTAGCAGTCTTAACTTAAACATTGATCGGTAAATTAAAATAGTCACGTATAGGCACAATAGTCTTTTAAGTTTTCTTGGAGGCAATTGTTTTCAACAATCGTATCTAGCAGCCTTCATTTTCACGATCTCGGTCAACTTATGGTGCTTAACTATTTTACTTGGTAACAAAATTCTTGAATCTCCTATTACTGTGGATGTAATCCACTTGTGGATATATGGTTAAAACAGGAATGTATTAGAAATCGTAAAAGTGAATTCTATTCACCTACTAAAATAACATCATAAGTTCTGTCTTCAGAAGCTGAAACGGTCTCCTGTCATGTGTCTGAAACCATAGCCAAGAGATATCAAATATATAAAACTTTTCAGTATTTATGTCTATCTTAATATGTTCATCCCAAGCCACCAGTAACATTTTGTAGACCATGCACGAGTCTCTGGATGGTTTATTTCCACATTTCCTCACTATTTGATCCAATATGTCTGACATGAGATGTAATACCTCCCTGCAGTTAGTCCAAGATATGGATGAGGTCCAGAGGCTACGGTTCATTTTATAGTACTTTCCTGTTTAAGATAGATAATGCATAAAGAGGGACAAGCATTATTTTCCAGCAAAACGAAATCAGGTCCATGTAGTTGCACCCCTAAGAAGGCTGACAATGGTTTAAAAGATATCACCCTTATAATAATCTACGTTCAGATCCCCGTTCTTAAAGATGGTCAGATTTGTATACTCATCGAAGTATGAATGGTATGATTAACTACAGTGTTGTCAGCAACATTCTGCAGGCTGTTTTTAGACAATCGTGTCTGTAAAGTGAAAGTAGAGATACAGGTTATCTAGAGGTAACCTGTTTCTCATAGTTTGTAGTACGATTTTAATCCTATTGAACCTGACAAAAACAACAACATCTACTGGAACTGAAAGAAGTGACAAAACGATCTTACAGAGCCATGTTATTATCATATCGGTCTTGACAATGCGTTGTGGAGTGTATCCTACCATTTCTTGAACGTTTTCTGACACTATTAAGTTACTTTTTTATTACATCTTCTTTCAGTCATAGGTACCAGAAGTTCTATTGATCTCACCTGGCTTTAAGAGGCCTCGGTAAGCCACTGTCTTGGTCAGAACATGATTTAAAAACAAACTAAGCAAAATTAATGTGCCACTCTCATTTCAGAAGATAATCCAAAAATCCATTGAGAAATTTAAATCGATCCAGCCCTTACCATACCAACAGACACGAGCGTTCGTGATAAACAAACCAAATATGCTGTAGGTATATTTTATCAAAAAAGACCATTATTGAGAAGAAATCAATATTCATTTTTAAATAAAGCATGCTCCAAAAAATACCATATTCTCAGTTACTCTTACACAATGTATACTGAATAGGAAAAAACGTTCAAATAAATGAAACTATAGGCAGCAAGACTATCAAAACTTTGTATACAAACACAAATCGGACATTTTGGAATTAATTAGTTTAGTTTCAAATACACGACTATATATTAGGCAGTTTTGTTTTGTTTTCTAAAGGCATTAACCTCCGTGGTTAGCGCATTTATTGGTTTTAGATTTTCTATAATAATTAAACCGGACGTGTCCTTTGTATATTTTGTCATTCGGTCAAAACTTCTACTCAACCAGGTGATATTCTGGTATCAAAAAATGAGTTTAGCTCACTTCAGAACCATTATTAGAGTATAAAGTGTTTGTTACAAGTAAATTAGTGCTTCTTTAATATTAGAGTATAAAGTGTTTGTTACAAGTAAATTAGTGCTTCTTTAATATTAGAGTATAAAGTGTTTGTTACAAGTAAATTAGTGCTTCTTTAATATTAGAGTATAAAGTGTTTGTTACAAGTAGATTAGTGCTTCTTTAATATCAGAGTATAAAGTGTTTGTTACAAGTAAATTAGTGCTTCTTTAATATTAGAGTATAAAGTGTTTGTTACAAGTAGATTAGTGCTTCTTTAAATAACCAATAAGATATAAAATAATGATTATTAATAACATATGCAAACTTGTAATAGAATACATATTCAAGCTTATCCTAATTATCTTTTACTGTATTTGGGTCTATTTTAACACTTTCTTTAAACGAATCTCAAGGACAATGTGTTTTGAAAATAACTTTGCTTGACGAAATCCCCGCCCCTAAACATGCTCACACTTTCAGCCGTGGGGGCGTTATAATGTTACGACCAATTCCACTCTTCGTTGCTAAAAGAGTAGCCCAAGAGTTAGCGGTGGGTGGTAATGACTAGTTGCCTTCCCTCTAGTCTTACACTGCTAAATTAAAGACACCTAGCGCATATAGTCCTTGTGTAGCTATGCGCTAAATTCAAAAACAAACAAACATGACGAAATACATGCATCGAATGGAAACGTTCGTTCTTAGGTTGTAGATATTATGAAAGTGAATTTGAGACAAAAATGAAACAGTAGGTTTATATACATCATCATCCCGGAATGGATAAAAGTCGATCAAACAAGTTTCCACCCGAACGGGTCAATACATAAAAAGTTAATAACATGCATTACACGTCAATCAGTTATTCTTATTGTTCCTTTTAGTAATTGATTCATAATAAAATGTGTCATTCAATATTAATTAAGTGCTCCGTCCGTGTACAAATATGTTCGTCTGAATGTTACCCACACCTGTATAATCCTACTGTCAATATATCACTATAAAACATTCTCAAGTTTCACCTTGTTGTTAGTATTATACTTAACATCGTTCCACTGGACAAACCAAAATGTTTTCTTCCACACACATGTACTAGTAATATTAACCGAGGATCAGCCTCAGATATCAGAAAACGAGGAATGTTAATTTAATGATTCAAGCTAAAGCAACGCGTAAACTGTTTATTAACTATTTATGTGAAATCTGCAGTTAAAGTAGCTCATATGTTAAATGTACTTTCCAAACAAAACAAACTGTATAGGATGTGAGTAAATATAACTATTGATCAATACAACACATCCACTATTCCGACCGTGCGGTTTGCAATATGATTAGAATATCACAACTTTATCACTAAAGATGAGATCGTTCTCAATATCTAAAATGTTGTGTTTTGGAAACTCGGGCAGTATTTTGTAACAGGTTCAGTGTACAGGTCAGCGGGTAAATCTGAACATGAATCTTAATTACCCAAAGAGTTAACCAGTATTGCTGAGTCAGAATTCCGGTGTTTTCGATGTTTTTACTGAGTGCTTGTTACCTCCGCCGCCGGTTACGTTTTCACCCCTGTATATTTGTGTGATTGTCAGCACGATTTCTCAAGAAAAAGACTGAATAGATTTGGACGAAAGTTGATATACATTTGGACTATGGCCCAACTTAGAAGTAATTAGTTTTTGGAGGGTCAAGATAAAAGTTCAAGATCACAAATATCCAAAACATTCCTATCTGTTAACATGAGGACCGATTTTTTACACTATTTTTGCTCTATAAGTCAGTCAAATATAATAGGATTTTGATGAAACTTGAAGGACATATGTAGAATATTATTCTTAATTGTTTTGCCAAAAATGGTTCTTTGATAAAGACGGACACACGGACACATTTTTGTATTTTTTTAGGGCCAAGTATGATCAACGCGTGGCGGAGGTATGCACTCTACTGAGTGCCCCTCTAGTTGTAGATGTATATATATATATATATATATTTATTCTTGAAAGATATGAACAGCTAGATACAAAAACATAATAGTAACAATAACATCGTGCGGAAATTCCAACATTATTTGACTCACATCCTCTTTTTAAATTCACACTTGATATTTGCATGAAGTTTACTGACATGAAATAATACTGACACTGGGCGCGAGTTTTACGTTGACGCCAGTTTGTAGAATGTAAAGTGAATTTCATGTTTAGTCAATTTTAATATATATATATATAGAGAGAGAGAGAGAGATGTGTGTGTATATATATACTTTAATCCTGCTACGCTACCGCTTATATAAGATTTAGTTTTAAGGCTTATGTTTACCAATTTATCCCAACTAATTATTATAAAGATAAAAATTATGTTTGCTTTATTGGTAAACATGATATTACAAATAAATATTAAAGTATTACAGTTCGTTTCTTACAGTTAAACTGTTAGTATACTAATTTAAAGTTGGAATAACCACACAGTGACCAAATACTGATTTCAAACAACTTAGAACAACGCTTTTCACACCTTTGGATCTGATATTGAACCCTTTAGTTAAACACAAACAGGTTTTGTAAATTCCGGCTTCGCTGTGTAGTGAACAGTATATTTCATGTTTACCATACATTACATGACACTCTTGAACAGGTAGCTAGCTAGGTTATTTAACCCCAAACATAACAAACTCTTCATCTTACCTGTACTCTACCCAAACACTGACCCCGGTTTGTAATCCTGTAACGGATTCTGAAGGAGGGAATGGGGATCTTGTGGCAACTTCACCAACTACGGCTTTCTGATAATTAAAACGTTTTTGAGGCTTAATACAACCCGCTGAACCACCACAGTCAGCTCTGAATTCACTGGATATCACGAGTAACGTCAATGAGTCTTGAGTATTTGATCACTATCCCGAGAACAAACCGCAGACGTCTTGCCCGTTCACTGTAACGAAAACGTTCTTCGAGACCTTGCCTTCTGCAACACTAACGTGTTTTACCCCAATTTTCTCTGGTAGCTCACCAAGTGCTCTCAGCCGCTCGATAAAGACATCACAGTTTGCCATGCTCTGAATGGTCGAAAGATGCTTTACTCTCCCGCCCTAAGCCAAGGCCAGCTTGAAAGGGGAGGCGAGGTGGGAAGTAGGGATTCAGTAAAGGCCGAAACAAAGTGCTGTGGCCTCATGTGGCTAAGGGTAGTATACGCATGCGTATTCGATACTTATGTCAATTGTAGGACGATTCATCGGCGCGTGAGTGATTAAAGCTCAAAGAAACCCTCTTTTATCCATCCCTCACCCTGTCTCAAAATGCTGTCAAGCAGGTCGGCACTTACTTCTGGACAGGTCAATTAGAAAAATCTTTTGAGCCGAGCGATCACGTGCTTACATGCATTCCACTGGTCACATAATAGGTAAGGGCGTCTTCTATTTACTCGCCCCTTTTCTCTCCAGTTTTCACGTCGTTCTTCCTAGGGTCTTTTTCACTCGTTTGGTTAACTCATTTGTTGCGGCCTTCTCAACTATTTATACAATAGTTTTCTGTACCTTACTAATTTTAAGAGGTTTTAAAATTTTACATCAATAAATTTTGTTGAAATTATCTTCAATAGATGACCAGTGGTGACTTTAAAATAATTACCATCCTGTTTCTCTCTGTTTTTAGTTACTAAAATGAACATTGGTTAGTACAGTTTTACCTTTTTTTTTTACACTTAGATAGATGGTTTGAAATAGGAGTCATATGGAATACTAATCTGCCGCAGTAAAAACAACATCATTGATTTATATCCCAGAAGAGAGTCTGTTAAAACTACAGTTTCCGTGACTCGCTCACTGTAGAAACTAGACGGATAGCTTAGCTGAAATAAACTCCATTAAAGTAATATTTCGAACTACGAATAAAATCTTATTTATGTGCAGACAGGAGCTCAATACTAAGATAACTTGAGAGGAAATAAATAATCTGTTATTAACCTGAAAGTTCAGGCAAGTACTGCCCTGATCACGCTTCGGCCGCCAAAGTTGTACACACTTAATTTCGGCGACAGTGGCGGCCTCATTCTTTTACAAATCCGCCACGGGGAACTTCCTTGAACAGTATTTTACATTTTTAAAAGATGAAAGGCTTTATGTTGATAAGATTTACTAAATTTGCTAAAGTCAATCAATTCGTTTTCAATCTAAGAGTTGAGAAGAGAGTTGTGCACATTGCCAAGTGGTTGTCGTGCGTATTATTAGGGCAGTTGGCACGGTAACGTCCTTGTAGCCAGTGTTTAATGAAGTTATTGTTTTGATGCATCTTAGGTGGTGTTTTAGGAAATGATGTACAACACAAAACGACACTAAGCTTCTCATTTATTCATTAACTTTGAAAATATTGGAGACTTGGACTTCTAGAGACCAAACATAGCTTCAGAAAACGGTTTCAGTGTTTTTATTTTCCAATCACCCAGGAAATTTTGCGAATTCTACTGACTCGCTTAGGGGAAAATAAATAAGAAAGACTCACACATACTAAATGTGGTTAGATAAATATGTTCTCTTTAATCACTTTCTTGGCACAGCGGGTACTGAAATATCCCGACTTTCTATCTGTCCTTTTGTCTGCATATACACATATTATTATTGTGATATTATGATTATAAAAATAAAGCATGATATACAGAAGATAAAAACATTATTATTATCATAAGGCATTAATTGAAGGTAAAAAAGCTTAATAAACAACTCTCAGGATAGCACACACACACTAATACAATGTTTTGAATAATAATAACTTCCGATCAGAATAAGCTATGTACTTAGAGATAAAAATTGATCTGGCCATCACTATAGCTAATTAAATGTGCTTTTATTACGTATCTACTTCTAAAGATTAAAATGCATTGTTTCGTCAGTTTGGTACCCTCTCTGTGAACGAAGTTTTCGGCCCTAAACCCAATAATATCTAATAAGGTTCGGCTAGCTTAAAAAGTTTAGTTTAAACCTAAAACTATATACTAAGCTAAGAATGCAAAACAATCTTTATTGTGAAAGTATAGTATCAAAATCAAAATACAAAGTAATAAAACTGAATATGTTATACATTCAAACCAATACTATTAATAAAAGTACTAATAAAGTATATCTCACCAATATAACATAAAAACACTAGCGTTCAGCCTTTCATAGTGCCAAATGTCTATCTCAACGGACATTTACACATGTAGAGATAACCTGTCACCAACCTTTCCTGCTCGCTATGGCTTCCCTTCTGCACCTCTAATCACAGCTATTGATGTATTAGGTAAGTCTAAAATGCCATGTGTAACATAATTAAAAACATGTTCCTAAAACATTATTCATAGAGAAAAATGTGTGTTTTATGACTGTTTTATACGGACGTTTATCAAACTTATACTTTTGAATACTTGGAAAGTTGGCTGTAACTATTTTTCGTGTTTTGTATTCACACCTTGTGAACCCGCTAGATTTGGTACGTCTAATTCTTCGCAGAAACAAATCAAACCAAACTCGTTAAAAAGATAACAAAAGAATATCTGTGCTAAGTCTTCATCTTCCTTCATCAGCATCTCTGATACAGAGTTGATGGAATCATCATACAGACACGATTTGAGACCCACATGCTGTCTACTCATTGTTCATGTCTCTAGTGGATATCGATGGTATTATCAAATAATCGGTGAAGTGAATGGAGATATCTGGTAAGGAGATAGGCTATTTATACAAGTTTTAATGTGATATCTGATAAGGAGATACGCTATTTATACAAGTTTTCATGTGATATCTGATAAGGAGATAAGCTATTTATATAAGTTTTCATGTCACGTATAAAGAGGAGAAGAAAGGGTCAATGCCTAGTCACTGCCAACCTTTCATTCATCAGCTTCTTGGCTTATAGAACTCGTTATTATTGTTTAAATTAGTTAGTATGCTGCAGCATTCCTGAGCTTTTCAAAGAGGCAAAACATATGTTACCATCCTAAACACAAAACTACAGCAGTAAGATTAGTCTAGCTTCAAGTGGATTTTCAAGCCACTCACTTTGTATCAGTCAAAGCTTCAAGAAAATGTTGTCCTGATACTATTCCCTAGACAGATCAGTGACATCACACTACGTCATCGATCTAGCTCTTTTTACTCAGATTTAAAGCTCAACAGTTGTCAGTGTCGACTCTCTCTCAATTTCACTCCCATTATCAAAGATATGAACTTTCGCAGTAGTGAAATAATTTTCAAGAGGTAGGGTATACAAATGGCATGCAGCAACTCATTGAGATCACGTATTAGGTATGGCTTCAGCTACTTGCTGACCAAACTTGTCACTATGTAATCATATTATATATTAGGCTTAGTCACATGTAACTGAAGCCCTGTCACTTTGAAGTCGTAGCTGTTATTTGTAAAACTTGTAAACATAGAATTAAGGAAATGTAAAGGATAAGGCTTATAAATGGTTTGTTTTTCACCATACTAACAGATAAATACTAGGAAAGCAAAATAAGACTCCCTTTCCCACAAAGAAAACCATTCATAAGAGTAACTTAAAAGAAAGATGTGATCTTACAATGTTCATATTGCAAAGAAAACGTAAGTTGTTCTTCTTGTGATAAGAATTCATCATCCATATACAATTTCAACAAAAAATAATTCTTATCATCCACACACATAGTAAAAACACAATGTTGGTCTTTTTGCCATATATGGGTGGACAAACTTAACTTTACTATAAAATTTAAATTAAATAAATAATATTTACTGGAACTAAATACACATCTTCAACTAAAATGATTTTTCACATGTAATCATTTATCATGACAGTTACATATCAATTACTTTCCATAATCTCTTATAGGTACCAGGTAATGTTAAGAGCAACTTGTTAAAAGGGCAACCTCGCGTTCACTGCTCAACTCGCCCTGCATAGTCAATTCTGCTAGTAAGCAGCAAGAACAGTACAATTTTAAAACCTCTCTCCACATTCTGATGTGAGCCTGACCAATTGAAATGTGAACTTAAATTGTTGGTGGTACTATGTATTCCCTAATGCTCCCTAATCCTGGAATTGGTAAGCCTTCATGATTTCGTGTTGAAAAAACCTCAGTATCCCCAACTACATAATTGCCTTCACTTCACTCTCATCTAGTTCAAAATGATAATACTGCATGCCATCCAGCCCTGCATACAGGCGCCAGAGTTCTTTGCTTGTAAATCACGCTTTACAGTTGTTGTTCACCATTCAGATGTTTGATAACAATCTCCACATTAGGAGTAGAAGTTTCAACTGTTCTGATATTAGCTCCATTTACGTTAGTTGTAGAATCCATATGTCTGCACTTTCACCATGAGACACTGTAATTGGTGAACTTGCAATCACCATTGCTTATTGCACCACATGATAGACTAAATCTTGATACTGAATGATGAAAGGGTTGCACAGAATGCTACAAGATACATAAGTATACCCTTTTATCTCACTTCATTGTTGCTTCATTTGGAAACTTATACTTTTGCAATGTCTAAAAAAAAGCATGTAATCATAACCTCTGCTGAAATGTTTGAAGCTGTAAAGCTATTCCAGAGATGTGTGGTCCACACTGATATTAAATTTTATAAAATGTTAAAGGGACAAAAGGGAGCTTATTAGCCCATCAAGGTTGTCCATTCCAACTCCCAACTATAACCACCCCTCACTACTCATGTATTCATCCAAGCTTTACTTGAATTCAGCTACAGTTTCTGCCTTCACCACCCTTTAAGGCAGCTCATTCCAAAAGCCAACCACCCTGTTTGAGAAGTAATGCTGTCTAAACTGCAGACTACTCATACACTACTAAAATTTTAACTTATGCCTCCTTATCCTATTGTTTTCACTGCTAAATATAAAAAAGTTTGATGGATCTATATTATCAATACCCTTAATAATCTTAAACACTGCAATCAAATATCCTCTGACCCTTCTTCTCTCCAGAGAAAACAAGTTTAGAGATTTTAGTCTCTCCTCGTAGGACAATCCCACCATCCCAGGTATCATCCTATTGGCTCTACTCTTAACC